ACTCACTTGGTAGCCCAGACTGGCCTCGAACTCACAGAGATCCGCCTGCCTCTGCCTCCCGAGTGCTGGGATTAAAGGCATGCGCCACCACCGCCCGGCTGGTCACCATTCTTTTAAGAGCTGTGCAATATTTCTGACCTAGACAACCATTTCCATCTCTAGATTCCAAAGCTAACCAATACTGAAGTGGAACAGCTGAGTACCTGGGGGAAGGAACAGAGAGCCGTGTAATGGAGTGAGGGGAATTATAGCAAACACTGTCTTGTCACGTGATCCCCAAACGCCTACGTGTCTTGTTGAACCACCAGGTTGACTCAGAAAAGCAAAACCCTGAAAAAAATGCATCTGAATAGCCACATAAGGCTAATGGGGTGAAGGCATGGCCACATGCACAGAACAAGGGCTCTGTGGGATCCAGACTGGCGTGCCAGCTAGGAGCTGCCGGGATGCGCAGCAGGCAGAAGTGCTTTGCCACGAAGGCACAAGGAAGGAGTTCAGATCCCAGAGCCAGTGTAAAGGCTGGACGGTGGCCACGCGTATCCCAGCACTCTGGAGGCAGACGGGGTCCCGGGGGTATGCATGTAGCTGTGAAGTTAAAGCCTGGATTGCTTTGGACAGCCCAAGATGTTGGAGATGCCAGAGTCGTGGGATAACTCCCAAGAGCTGATAACCTGGAGTGGAACCAGCCCAAAAGAAAGAAGTGTGTTACAATCAACAAATCTGAACAGAATTGGAGAGAGTCTGACATCAGGGGTGGAGATGCAGTTTGAAGTCTGCCCAGCTGGCTTTTGGTATTGCTTTGGCCCAGTATTTCCTTGCTATGCTCCCTTCCCTATGTTTTGGAATGTATATCTTGTGACAATTGGAAGTATGTGATCTGCTTTTTGATTTTGATTTTTACAGGTGATTACAGTTAAGAGACTGTCATGTGTCTCAGGAGAGACTTTGAGATTGTTACAGACTATGGGGACTTTTGAAGTTAGACTGAATGCATTTTTGCATTATGATATGGCTAATAAGCCTTTGGGGGCCAGGGAGTGAAATGTGCTGGTTTGAAAGAAAATGGTCCTCAAAGGGAGTGGCACTATTAGGAGGTGTGGCCTGGCTGGAAGAAGTGTGTCACTGTCAGGGCGGGCTTTGAGGTCTTTTTCTCAAGCTTCACTCAGTGTGACAGTCAGGCAACTTCCTGTTCCTTTTAAACCCTGTGTTGATAGCCAGGCATGATGAACACATATTATCCCAGCACTCAGGAGGATCTAGAGGTTGAGATCATCCTGAGCTACATGGTATGTTCCAGGCGAGCCTGGGTTCCACAGCAAGAGCCTGTATCAAAATAATAGTCATAATAATTAAGAGAAACCTCATTTAGGAGCTGCAGAGATGTCTCAGAGGCTAAGCACACTGGATGCTCTTCCAGAGGACCCAGGTTCAACTCTCAACACCTACACAGCAGCTCACCACCATCTGTAACACCAGTCCCAGGCATCTGATGTCTTCTTCTGGCCCTCTGGCTTCCACAGACACTGCACACGTGCAGTGTGTGTGTGTGTGTGTGTGTGTGTGTGTGTGTGTGTGTGTGTACACATACATATCGAGGCACTCACACATACACATCCCCTCCAAAACAAAAGGAACAAAGTGCCAATGCATGCCACGTGAATGGATCTGGAAAACACTGTGCGAAGGTAAAGACGCCAGTCGCAAAAGGACCCGCACAGTATAATTCCATCTAAACGAAACAGCCAAGATGAACACGTCCCCAGAGACAGGAAACACAGCTGAGTGCGGCAACTCAGCCCACAGAGGCTGGGCAGGAGGACCGTGATGCGGAGCCACCCTGAGCTACCCGTGAGATAGAAGGGAGGGACAAAGCGGGGCGGGACTAATGCTCACCCCCCAGGACGGGGAGCTGTGCTGACTGCCGTGTGGCTGACATGTCCCCAAACCAGAGTCTGACTAATACAGGAACATCTACACATGGCCCACAGTCTGTGTCTATCCTAACAAGCGACTCACACTGGGAATGACTCTGCACTGAGTGCAAGCGCATCTGAACTCCATTTCTGTTCCGTGTCCCATCGGGGCAGGTGAATTCTTGACACCAACAGGAAGTTAAACAGCTTAAGGACCCCCAGACCCCAGACGGCTACCAAAAGATCCAAGCCGGCCCCTGCCCCTGCTCTCTCACCCACCCAGGACCCCTTCGGGAGCTGCCCTGTTTTCTTCCCCCAAGAAAGATTCATTAAGAAAAATTTTAATTAAAAAAAAATTTCTTATGGGCTGGAGAGATGGCTCAGAGGTTAAGAGCACCAGCTGCTCTTCCAGAGGTCCCAGGTTCAATTCCCGGCACCCACATGGCAGCCCACAACTGTCTGTGACTCCAGTGCCAGGGCATCTGACACTCTCATACCAATGCACATAAAATAAAGTTAAATAAATTATTTTTTAAAATTTCTTACATACAGTATATTTTGATCACATTCTTTCCCCTCCCCCACTCCTCCCAGATCCTCCCCACCTCCCTCCCTCTCCACCCAACTTCATGTTTTCTCTCCCTTGCTCTCAAAAAATAAAAATAAATAAAGGTCAAATAAACAAAACACCAGTAAGACAAAAATAAAATTAAAAAAAACACACACACAAATAAAAAACAGAGGCTCCCTTTTGTGTTCACCAACTATTCCTGGGCATGGGGCCTGGCTTGGAGAGGGGTTGATGTACCTTATGTCACCTCTGGAGGGAGCTGGTGTGCTCACTGGGGAATGGGGAGGTGGGGTGTTTGTCCTGTTCCCGCAGAGTGACTGACTCTCAGAGTAGGTCATGTCCTAAGAAAGCGGCTACTGAAATGACGCGGGAGGCCGACACCGGCCGTCCAGTCCGTAAGCTGCCAGGCTCGAATCAGGCAGGAGGACAGCAGGCAACCAAGGCATTTTCACAAGCTCGGCTGGCACCCTCACTCCACACCCCACAGGGTTTGCTGAGATTCAACGCCGCTGTCTTCCCCAGTGACTTGAACGGGTTGTGGATGCTGCTCAGGGCGAGGGGCTCTGTGACCAACCAGCCACCAGAGAGCTCTACCGACTGTCGGTTCAGGCCCAGCTCTGCTGGCCTCTTGGGGGGGCCCAGAAAAGCGCTAGAGCACAGCCAGGGCCCACAGCAGGCATGTCCTAAGTACAGAGCCCCTCAAAGCTGATCGTCTGGAGACATCGTCCCCATCTGCGGTGTCTCCCTGCCAGCGCTTCTGTTTTAAATGTCTTCTAAAAGTCAAATCCATTTTCTTGGAAGATTTCCTTATTACTCCCCTAGGAACTCTTAGAAAGAATCTGAGGGAAAATCTCAGATTTTCACACGGAGACATCTTCTGCTTAGACTAGACCTCTTGTCCATTTTGGAGGCGAGGAAGCCTAGGTGGAGTTCTGTCAAATCCCGTCTTGTAAACAACACAGACATCATCTTAAAATGAAGACCTGAGAAGAGGTCCCAACACCCATGAACACTGAGGACACTGTACTAAGTGGGATAACAAACACAGGAGAGTGCAGGGCTCTGCTCACATGAGGGGCCGATGAGTGAAACGTACAGCTAAGATGATCCTGAAGAAAACCAAGGAAAGAAAACTGAATGGACACCGCTTTCCTATCTCTCTGAACAAGTGCGTCTAAGAACAGAAAACCCAGAAGGTAACTAGTCTTCTCCGGTTCACTCTCCCATGGTGCCTCAGTCCCTCATAAAGGGCAGAGAAGCTGGGGAAACAAGCTTCATGATGTTTATTCCCTGCCCCCCCCCTCGTCCTGGCCTCCTGGGAACAGCCCTTTGAACAAGCATCATTGTAGAAAAAAATGGAGCTGAGATTTCAAGCCCTGACTCACAGACAACTCCAGCCACTTTCATTGAGAGCTATAAAAAATGAAGGAAGAGTTCTATGGATCCATTAACCCCTCAGCTCTGGGAGACGCCAGGAGCAGCCAGACTCCAATGACTGTTACTAGAGGTCGCACAGCAAAACTCACGGCTGCTGAGGGAGCTCAGATCTTCATAGAGGAACCAGTGCATTCAGAAATGCTGGCCCTGTGTCAGCTGCAAGATGCTGCCCAGGAGCTCGCTCGTTGGCCTCAGCGCCTCCCCGAACACCCAGAAGTGAGGTGCCAGAGGAGGGAGGGGGCTACACAAAGGGTCGAAGCCAGGCAGGGAGCACCAAGTGTGCAGCTGTAAGGGAGACCGAGCGAACAACAGAGCCGCAGAGTAAACTCGAAGGGACCTAATGCAATCAGCACCAGCCAGACTCATCGTGGCCTCCACCGGCCTCTCTGAAGGATTTGCTTTT